GCTCCATGTACAGAAAATAACAGAAACTGGGTCCCTATGCAGAAAATTCAGTATTTATTCTAAAATGTAAATTGTTGAGTTATTGGGATTATTTCATACACTCCAAAAGAGTATCTAATCTACCTCTACTAATTACTTTCTCTATGAAAGCTTTCCAGACCATTACAGGTGGGGTACCTCTGGTCAATGCTTTTAGGTGCTTTTTATTAAAGGTACTAGAGGCCCGGTACCCAAAATTCATGCACTGGGGGGCCCCTCAGCCCGGCCTGTGCCCTCTCGCAGTCCAGGGCTCTTGCAGTCCGGGGCTCTCGCAGTCTGGGACCCCTTGCTCCTTACCACCCGCCTGCAGTGGAGGCGGGAGAAGCTCCCGCCACTGCCACTGCTCTTGTCAGCCATGAGCCTGGCTTCTGGCTGAGCGGCGCTCCCCCTGTGGAAGCACACTGACCACCAGGGGGAAGCTCCTGTGTTGAGTGTCTGCCCCCCTGGTGGTCAGTGTGCGTCATAGTGACCGGTCGTTCTTCTAGTCATTCCGCCATTCAGTCAAATTGCATATTAGGGTTTTATTATATAGGATAGTGTTGCTACCAGATAAATTGCCTCGTATAAAAGTACGTACCACAAAGCCCTATAATGGAAGGTTAAGTGCTATACTTAATTACTAATTTCAGCCCTTATTATCCATATTTTGCTGCACAGGCACTTTAAAAGGAACCAAGTATAGTCTGTTGGTTCCTTCTTCTCTCCTTATAGAATTTGGTGGTAAAGGCTATGGTCCAACTATTTTTCTAATGAATAATAACACAAATTTTTAAAAATAAAAAATAGCCATCCACAAACCAACATAAAAGAGATATACTAGACATTTCTATTAAACGTAGACATAAAATTGCTCTGTTCTAACAACTTTAATCTAGATGACACTTAAATTTGTACTCAGCCTTCATGGAGTTGTGGCAGATGAAGCTCCAAGAAAAAAGGGCATTTGACATGTTCACGGCTTATTTCCTACCTCAGCATCATGCTGAAATGCACACAGAGCAGATGATTAATAAAATACTGATGGCAACGATGGTGACTCCTGTGAGCTCTTCACATATTGATCATTAACTTTGTATATGCATATATTAAAATTCCCCACAGGTGCTCTAATTTTCTTGAGGGCAAACTGCATTTTACCCTTGCTTGCATCCTTCCGAGTAACTGTAGCGTTGCTTACTCTGTGTTTGTTAATATTATCTAAAATACTTTTTTGGTAAAGGACTAAATATAAAAGGTTGCATACAAAATATCTATTTCTAAAGATTTGCTCATTACCATGACATTGCCAGATTCTGATTTTTAAATACATATATATTTTTATACTGAACATCCATTTAATTGGTAAATAAAGACATTATATGTGTTAAACAGATATTAGTCCAGAAAAAAAATATACAAATATTTGCTGACTTAATCAATACTGCCCGATCTTAATGACCACTATTCAAATTGAATATTAGCATGCCACAAAAACACAGGGACCATAACTTTTTTGAACTATAGCTAGTACACCATATCTGGTCCATTTAATCACATGAGCTATAATAAAATAGTGAGGTATGAAAAATTTTAAAAACAAAAATATTTACCCACGTGAACTAATAATGCATTAGTAAATTACGTTCTGATGATCTGTGCTTGGGAAATGCAACCATACTTCCCTTTTAGAGGTGAATTATGAATATTAGTATAATAAAGCCCAGTGTAGCCACTTTCAATTTAGTTTAATTCAGACTTAGCTGAGAGTGGGAATTCCTCTCTCCCCCAACATAGGTCATCATTAACATTCACCAGGACAGCGTTCTTAAAGATACCGATTTGGAAAGTGTGGAAAGAGTGAAAAAGTTTCTAAATGAAGGTACGTTTACATCATTAACTGGTGAAACAAAGCTAGGCTTCAAGAGGCAACTGCCACTCTGTAATAATAATAAATGGATCATTTTACATGTTCATGTCCACTATTAACAGATAACGTATTCCAGGGTCAGGATCTAGATCTCATCCTGCTTTCTATCTTTCATGGAGTCCAGGGCCATGGCTTCCTCTCAGTAAGGAGGTATTCATTCATTGTATTTTAAGAAATTCGCCAATTTACTTTTCTGTAATTCCATCAAGGATGTAGTTATTAAAAACAATACATTTCAACTAGGATTTCAGTAAACGCAATAAGGGATTGTTGGGGGCTATGCGACAATGTGTACAGATTTCAGGCACTTTCCTCCCAGTCTTCCAGTCCACCTTACTACAGACGGCCACAGAAGGTGCACATTCTCATAATTACAGTGTAAAATTGGGATAATTCCCCAGGATATCAATTCTGCAAATATTTACTAAGTACCCACTATTTGCCAGTACTATAATAGGCAGGTATTATTAATGCGCTTGCTTCTAAATTTTGTTATAGAGCAGCTTTATACTGCATTTAATTGAGCAAATATTTGAAGAGCACAAAGTTTATAAAAGAGGTTTGAGATGAGGGTTAGAGATGTAAAATTTTATAAATCAGCAAAGGTGCACAAGGGCATCACAGACACTCGATTCCATAATCGTGAGTCAGTACGAAGGAAGCTTGATCTTTGTTTAGTAAGTTAGTTATTTCCTCAAATTGTTTCTTCCAAGAAACAAAGTACTTGTAATATAGGGGCTCATCGATACCTTTAGGTAATCATTGTTATTGTGCAAAATGAAAATTTCTTTTTACACTCTTTCTTTCTACTGTTCTATAGCTCTTCTTTAAAAAACAACACATCCACATGCCAAAAAAATCCAGTTCTATCTAAAAGGGGAGCAGAGAAAAATGAGGTTGATGTTTTTAGTAATCTCCTTTGTACCAAAATGTAGAGAGGATTATAATTGCAATAAATACCTTTATACTTTTAATTTGCATTTTACTTTAAAATAACATGTTACTTTAATTGAGAATATATGCAATCACAAGTAACAACGGCTTAAATTTCAAATCTACTGCCTTTGTTTCAATAGCGCAGCACTCACAAAGCTCATGAACTATGAACACGATCATTTTTATTTTCTCTATGATAGCCTCACGTTCATTTTAGAGACTTAAAATGAGTGATGCTGGTGTCAGAATCCTCGTGAAACCCCACAGCTATGTGACAGTGAAAACAAACCTCATTTATTTTCAGGCTCTTATAGCTACTGACTTACAGGTACTACAAATAGTTCCTTTACTGTTTCTCTGGTTGTCCCATGGCCCACCTGCACATTTCATGAGTTTCAGCTGCATATCACCATCAAAGGAATCACCTGGTTCTATTTCCTTTCAGGGAAACGGGTTATAATATTCCCTCCTTTAGCTTTAAATTTTCACTCTGTTACTTTTGACAAAGCCTTTCCTTTGTTCAAATGGAAGGATCCAATTTAAAAACAAAAACAAAACAGCTTTGACATGGTGTGCCCTTTATGTGTGCATTTTTCTGATTTCACTGATGTTCTAAATTTCACAAACGGTAACGTGTGCCTTCAAGTTCCTCTGTAAAATGCCATTTGCACATCATATCAAGAACAGTTTAGGACAGCAGGACATTCACATGACTCTAAAGTCCAATAAATACATGATGGTTTCTCAGAAAACCCACAATTGGGTGAAACGAACGCAAAACAGTGTTTTGTTTTTCATTAAATCTTCCCCGGATACCCATTCACTGGCTTACCTGCAGGGTAGCGCTCGATCACTGGCCAGCTGTCCACCTGTAAGGTGGCATTGCCACCACTCCTCGTGAAACGCACTACGTGGTATTTCCCATCGTTAATGATTGCATTGGACTCTTCAATGGCGATGTCATCTGTCCCAACATTAAATTTAACTCCAATTTTTCCTTGGTGCTGGAAGAGAGGAGGGGGAGAAAAGTTATATAAAGTTGCGCTGATCCGTCAGCATTTAGTTAGAATTACATACAGGATATTGATCAAGAACATGCTTCAGACAACGGCTGTTTTCCTCCGATTTTACTTCTGAAAGACTCATGTGGAAGAAAGGTTCTTGACATTTGGGTAAATCTGAAGCATTTCCTTCATGGATAATTGATATTCCAAAAGACACTTTCAAAAGAATTGAGCTGCCTCCTTCCCAGAGGTTGCCACAGACAACATGCACAGCTGTCTGTGTGAAAGGACATCCTTTCATGTCCCATCTCACCGCTCCTTTAATCCACTCTTTACATTTCATGAGAAAAATGAGGCTTGACATTCTCCCTTTTAATAACTGGGGAAAACAGAGCTATGAAGTCTGTTTAGAGACAACTGACAAATAATCACAATATAGAAAGTCACTCGAAAAGGTATGGGCATACAGGCAGGTATTTAAATGCAGTTTCTAGGTCATTATTCACACACACACACACACACACACACACACACACACACACACAAATCATCCAATTCTACGAGCCTGAAATGCATTCAATTTATTTTATAGATGATGAAACTATGACACAAGAAGGTGCAATGACTTGCTCAAGGTCACATAACTTAATGGGTGGATGGGTACTGGAATTAGAATTCAGTTTCCTCATTGTTACTTTCTATCTAAGCTAAGATATGGCTAGCTATGATTATCAACTCCCCTCTCTGGATTATGCAAAACAGCGTTGCAAATCTAATTCTAAGCACAGAGTTTGTTATTGTTAACTTTAGAACTGCATACTACACGGTGGCAAAGAAACATGGGCTTGTGTCCTCTGCTTCCGAGAAACATTCTCTAACAGTAGAACCGTCAACTTTATCATGAGTTCAGTGGGTTTTTAAAGCACTGCAGGCCCTTGTTCGTGTACATAACCTCAAATTCTCTGTAGTTCACCTTTCGTCAAACCTCCATTGGGAAGAACTCCATGGGGGCAGAGGAATTTAAAGGGCATGTACTCCATCCATTTCTGCAGAAATTAACCATCAGAATATTGAAAACCTGAATATTTGGACCGCATCCTTTAGACATCTTGCCAGATTCTTGGCATTGAGCTAAACAGCAAGAGTATCAGCTTACATTGAGAATTGTTATACGAAAACGCTGTCCAAAACTGCATTGATTAAAGGGAAGTACATGAAGGTGTTATTTGGACAGTGCTCATTGCCCCCCTCGTGCACACATCCTAAAGGTTTCTATTTTTCTTTTTCCTGGTCCTTGTTGTCCATAAAAGATCTTTTTCTTATAATAGGTTAATATGGTTTCTAATTTTTTTAAAATTTTTATTTGTTTCAGGCTTGACAGACAATATGACAAAATTACATTTCTTTTTTTTTCATATTTCATTTTTGATTTTGGTTATTAGGAAACTCAGAGTCAAAGTGAGTAGGACAGTTTTTCTAGCTGCATAGACTTCAGGTATACTGTTGTCCCCTGGACTTATTTTTATTTTCTACCATATTTTTCATAATCCTTACTTCAAAATGTATGCCATTATTAGTTATTCCAGATTGTGTAGAATGATTCAGGTGATAAACACACACAATAACAACAACAACAACAACAACACTGTGTTTCCAATAAAACTTTAAATATATCCAACATTCATCCAGGGGACTCAGGGAAGTCCATGCAGAGATGCAGGCATTCTCTTTTAGGCATTATCTTTATTTAGCAAACACCTTTATAATGTTCTAAGTTCTAACTGCAATACTAAGTCTGGTATTTCTCATAAGATCCCTGTGAGAAAGGTACTATTTTATCTCCGTTAGACAGATGAGGAAACTAAGCACAATGTGATTAAGTAACCTGGCTAAGGCCACACAGTTAGAGAGAGAAAAACTGTGATTCAAATCCAGGCAGTCTGGCTCTAGGATTTATGCTCCTCATCATTATATTAGGCTGAATTTGGGGAATATTGGCTCATCCCAACTTCAGGTAGCAGAGCTGGTAACTCTAGATGTCCCTTGCTACCTGTTTTCTCTTTCCTGCTGGAGTAGGAACACCATAGGACCTTGCATTATGCCTTGCAGATTTCACAAATGTATCAACTAATGTGTGCTTAAAATAATTTTCTAGAGGACAGAAAGCAACTGATATTTAGATGCAATGGGATTTACAATAAAATGTTTTTGTCTCCGTTTCAGTTGCAATCTTAAAATAATCAGTTAAAAACAAATAGATCACTACTTTCTTATTACAAAATGAGGTAAAAGCCTAAGCCAAACTTGCAAAGGAAAGCACTGAAAATGGCTCTTGGCACCCTAAATTTGGGACCTACTATTATTTCCAGCCCATGAAAGAGAAAAGAAAGGCCAAGAGGAGATCGATCATTAGAAGAAGATTTGGGGGGAGAATTGGGATATAACATGTTTTGCAGGTACAGCCAAGGTGGAAGGTAGAACTTCAGAAAGTTTGGTTCTTGTCTCCTGGAATTTGGTGGCAGTGGTTCAGTAAACTGGGATTTGACTCTTGCCTGAGAAATCTTCAAGGGGAAAGACTGTGACTAGGTGATGAACTGACAGCAGAGCAAAGATATTCCTGTGACAGGAATCACTTGTGAATGAGTTTGTTAGAACAAAGAACACATGAGCATTGCCAGTGGAACATGGGTTAGGAAGCCAGCTCAGAATTGTTTTGTGTCCTGTCCGAGAGAGCCCCTGTGGTGAGGGGTGGTAAGTGGTGAAGACAACACAACAGAAAGAACCAGGAGAAGCAGTAACGGGTACCTGGGGAGTGAGGGGGGAATCCTAAATGACCATCTGGAGGAGCACCCACCCTCCTCAAGGGAACTACAGGTAAAGAAATTCCAATGATGTTGTTAACAGCACAAAGAACTCACCAAAATGCCCCCAAAAATGCTCCTCAGAGTCAACAAAGCATAGGCTAAGCCCAGCTAGATGGCTACTATTGTACTAGGCAACTAAGATCATTTCTGTCTCTTATGTCATCTTTCTTCTGCCTCATCCTTTGGAGGATGAGGAAGCAAGATAAGTGAATGTTGTGGGAACAAGAGGAGAAACAACCCCAGTGCAAGTGGCAGCTTCCAGTCAGCCCATGCAGTGCCAAGGGACCGGCTTTAATTGAGGCTGCATTTATTATTACAAAGGAGTGAACTGAAAGTACTTCTTATATCTACAGTGAACAGATGACATTTTACTACCCTAGAGCAGTGATGGCGAACCTTTTGAGCTCGGCGTGCCAGCATTTTGAAAAACCCTAACTTAACTCTGGTGCCATGTCACATATATAAATTTTTTGAGATTTGCAACCATAGTAAAACAAAGACATATATTTTTGATATTTATTTTATATATTTAAATGCCATTTAACAAAGAAAAATCAACCAAAAAAAAGAGTTCGCGTGTCACCTCTGACATGCGTGTCATAGGTTCACTATCACTGCCCTAGAGTGACCAAAGTAGTTGCACTTCCTGGGGGTAAGGAAGAAATATTCCATAGAACATGTTTAAATTCCTGTTGTGCCCTAGGAATCACATATTTCAACACAGAATTGTAAAACAATAGAGTTGCCCATTGTTTTTAGGATCTCTTCTATCACAAGCATGTTTCTTATCTCAGGATAGACTGAAAGAAATTATTAAAGTTTCCTACCCCTAATAGTCAATTGTTATCAGAGCTCTATGCTTTAAGGAGATTCATGGTCCATGAATAGAAGCTAAAAGTACAAAATGCACCAAACCAAACATGTCCCTTTACCTCATCCCTAAATTTTCTGCACTACGAAATGTAAAATGCTTATTTTCTAGGGTACAGAAATCCCCAGACTTCACAGAGATGCTTTTCTTGCAACACAGTAAAACAAACTATTAAGAGATAATGAGGTTTGGTAATGCTTGGAAATCTTCTGACTTTGAAATGATGTTAATCTTCCTCTGAAAATGTTAATTTAGTCCTTGAACTTCCAACATCTTTGATATCTCATGGATCAAACTCCAACATCTGCTAGAACAGAACTGTATACCACTAAAGTAGACTCAAATGATAACACACTCTACCCTAATTCAGATATTATTACCCCACCCAGGTTACATCACATCCTTGAAAAACAATTAATCATAAATGATAGATGCAGGATCATTTTTTCCCCTGAAAACAATTACATTAAAATGCATATAAACCACAAAATATTAATATCAATTATATTTAGGACCTACATTTATTTTTCCATTCAGAAATTGTAAATATTCTACAAACACATATCTCCCATGTTGACAGAATAGAAAGCCATTTCAATTATAGAAACAATAAGCCTTGCCGAACTTTCTTACCAATGGACAATTACAATTTAAAAGAATTCATTTCAAATTCTTATTCTCTGGGATTAAATGTGATTGTCTCCGGCAAGTTCTCATGAATATTGCATTAGGAAAACCAGCAGTAATTTCACTGGACATGTACTGATCTTTCAGCATTGTATCTTCCTTGAAATGGATAACTGGCTCACACTATAATTTCAAAAATCTATTATAAGAATATCAGTAACGAGGCATTTATAATTTAATGAAGTCTTTCCATGGATTCATTAAATAAATAGTGACAAAGTAATTATTAATTTTTTCACAAAAGCTCATTTCTGAATAATGATTATGTTATTAAACCAACTTAAAAGGAAACATTATGAAAGATGACACTGGGAAGGAACTTGAAAGTTCTAGCCAGTAGCACTATAGTTTAATGCACCGTTTAATTTCAGCTGCAATCACATATTCATTTGAAAAATATTTGATTAAAATTTAATGATATTCTGGATATCTTCGGCATACTTCAAGGAACATGTTTGTATGTTATAGATGCAGATATATTTCCACTGATGTGTATATTAAATAGATAAAACAGAATATACATATTAAGATTTAGCCTGTATATAGCATATAGAAATGTCACTGGCTTTTGTCTGCTA